AGTGGGGAATGGGCTTTGTGATGTGAGCTCTCATCACTTGGCCTTTCTATTATTCAACAAGGAGAAAGGGATGGAGGGATGAAGAGGAGGAGGAGGAGGAGGAGAGGACAAACAGTGTGAAGGTATACCTCACTTCTGGAAGGGATTATCACAGAGAATATGTATATGACAGGCTTTCTAATGGCTTGGTGAGAAGAGTCCTGAGTCGCTGAGGAACCGAGGCCCGGGATGCCAAAGGGAAGAGGGTTTCCAAAGGTGGAGATGCATCACCTCCACCCGCAGCATTCTGTTGGTTTTTTATGGCTCAGAACAATTGGCTAACTGATTAACCCACTGCGTTCTGTGTACCCACCTAGCACTAACCAGACGGATAGTAGCACCTCGCACAAACATAGACGGATGTGTCCCTCGCAGGAGCTTGTGGACCAACCACAATTAAAATGAGTGCGTAACTAACGGGTTCACCATTACAAGAACGTCATGAGGTGAATATGTCAATGTTTTTTGTTGACACATTGTTTTGCTTCCCCAAAGAAAGAAAAACTCAACTACATTAGCTAAATAAATATGAGGCTCAATGTTGCAGGATGCTAGCCTGTTTGACAATAGTCCAGGGCTAAAATGTTGACCAGATGGTAACACTTTATATACGTATATCCTCTGTAACAACAACTATAAACTTGTTGTCAGCGCTCGATTTTAGTGATTTTTTTCTTGATCGTCTTTTTTAACTCCTTTCCGTGAAGATAAGGTGATGATACAATCAGCTATATACAACAAGCTAATGTGTATTAGCTCGCGCCTAAAGTTAGCAATCGTACGTTTAGCATAAAGTTGGCCAAAATCTTCATTCACAACTTGCTCATACTAATGTAATTACAACCTCAGAGTTGTATGCCTCCGCCAACCGGTTATGATCCGGTTTACATCCACATCCATCATTTTATCCTGTTAGACATTTGTGTGAAATTGTCATAATTAGCATATACATTCTTGATTTATGGCCAAAAAATGTGTCTTGTGAGGTCACAGTGATCTTTGAGTCTGTCTCGAGTAAAAGAAAACAGCAATAGTCTTTTCTTTTGGATATTTCTTTTTTTGGGCTTGAAAAAAATGGAAAGCCCAAGTTTATGCAACCCAGGGGCTTGGCCAGCAACCTTAAACCCAGAGACATCATCTCTAGTCAACGCAGCCTCCGGCTAGGAAGACGCTCCTCATCAGCAGGCCAGGGAGGCTCTACAGGAACACAAGTTCACATTCTGCAGCAGAGGGAAGATGAAGATCCTTATTCTTTTCTATGCCGTCTGAAGCTGCTGCTGGTGGGAGAGCAGTTACTTCACAAACTCACTCCATCCGAGAGACAGAAGTGAGGACCGCTAAGAATAATGAAAAGATGAGGCAGGAAGAGTCGGAGAAAGGGGACAGACCATATCCTGCGAGCCAATTATATTTCCTCACCTCCTCAGCTCTCTCTCTCTCGCTCTCTCTTTTCGCTGACTGGACTGTGAATTTGGTCAATGTTGGAGCTCGGCCATTACGGCTGTGCAGAGAGACGGTCATTCCATCTCTTCTCCTCTGACCATTAGTTTGAGTCGGATTTTCAAAGAAACAATATGACACAGACTGAACGGACAAAACCTGCCATCACGGCACAGATATGAGGCAAAAAAAAGAGCTCCTATGAGAGAAGCCATCATAAAAATCGATTCACTTGCGTCCGTCCCCAATTGCTATTATAGATTTTTAAAGGAATAGTTAACATGCAAATGTATAAACATTAAGGAAAATATACTGAATTGCTTTCTTGGTGAGTTACATGAGAAGATTAGCTTATTAGCTTAGCTTAGCATAAAGACAAAAAGCAGGGAGAAACGGCTAGGCAGGCTCTGTCCAAAGTATATCAAAAACAATTCCACCTGAATGCACCACGACAGCTGTAAACACATGTAAAAGTCATTATGCCAAACCCTTCTGTCCGGCACAGCATTTTAACGGATGCTAAGCTAATCGTTCTTTCTGGAGCTTCCTTTTCGATGGACAAACAGGAGACTCAAGAGGCATCCATCTATCTTTTCATCAAACGCTCATCGGGAAAGTGAAGCGTATCTCCCTAATATGTGCAATGAACTGGACTGACTCTCGGCGGTTTAATACAAATGATTCCTTTCCAAGACACGTACAGTGTGAACGCTCTCCTTCGCTGAAGCACATAACGGCATCGTGTGGATCACCTGAAAAACAGGAAGCGTCGCGGGTTATTGCGAGGCTCCTCTCCTGTCGCCAGACCTCCTCACAGTCACTGCGCTGACATGCACAGACATGTAGTGGACATATCAGTGCTCATCAAAAAATAAAACCCCCGGCTTCAATAATTGAAAGAGACTTTCTGGCAGTCATCTTTAATGCAGATGACAGGAGTTAAAAAGGGAAATCTGCAAACACTCCCAGCATGGACTTTCTGGACTGCTGGCTAAAACATCATCCAACGTGATACCATCGCTTCAGTCTTACAGTCTCTGTTGACAGCTCACCATTGTTTGTATAAACGTACATTATTCTTAAGGTTTCCTAAAGCTCTTGCTTCTCTTTTTCCCCAAACGTGAGTGAGTACTTTGACTCTGGACCTACTTGACATTTGTTTTTTCGTAATATTGCTGATGTAGTGTTGCTGTAATGTTGATGTTAGTGCTGCAGTTGAACCCCGTTGTTTATGTCAATACATTTGAGAATTAAATCCCACTCTGAATCAACTTTCTGAGGTTCAGTGCGTGCGTTTCAAAAACCAGTGTGTATGTGTTTGTGTGGGTGGACTCCCTCTGCTCGAACATGTATTTATGGATCTCCCTGTACGGCACATGTCAGCCTAGCTGGACTACCGTCCATGATGGAAGGGCCTCATTTCCCCCAGTCACATCAACACCGACGCCGTCCGCTCTCATCAATTACACTCCGCTGCCTCTTCGCGCTCATTCAGACGCGCGGAAGTCAATTATGTCTAATTGCTGGTAATTTACACAGCACTCGCATGGCAGTTACTGTCCACGTAGCGGGGAAGTCTTGTTGAAGGCTATCACAGCGCGCTCATTAACTGTTATGAGATAAGAGAGCCGCGCAGGTAGAGGGAGGAGGGGAGGGAAGGCGGACATAGCTGAACTCTGCAGACCAGGGCATCAAACTCTCGTGGATGAAGTCGTTTCTGAATAACAGCACCTACGTGACAGGGCTGATTGTATTCTACATATCACTCTGCAGATGAGGTCGGTGCGGGAAAGTCAATGAGACAGCGCCGTTGCTCTTACGAGTAAAGTCCTGTACATTTCCTGATATCAAAGGCTTTTACACACCGGGGGCATGACGAATAAACAACATGAAAATGCGATGTCTGGGGCTTTTATTGTGAAAGGTAAGAACGGAAGGAGCAGATCTGGTCGACGCTATCTTTGCCAAGGTTTAAAGGAGTAAGAAAATGAGCCATTCTGGTTTGGACTAGAGCCTCCATGATGTTGTTCATGAATATAGGGGCAACTCAACCAGTTTCTTACAACGTGATTGGTTGATGACTTTATTCATGGTTCAGAAAATAAAAAACTTAGAAAAAAAGTAAAGTAAAAGGCTTTTTTTGCAGCGTGTGCTGTGTTAAAGTATTCATGACAAAAACAACAGTTCGATAAAAATGCTTAAATTAATCGCACAACAAAAACACCCCAGGTGTGTAAAGGCCTTTAGACTGGAGAATAGAACAAATAGCATAACGTTTCCTTTTCTGACTCCATCTTTCTATTTCAATATTTACTCAAGGAAATGTATACCTTAGGCAGGGTCACATTCGACTGTGACACAATTCATCTGTACGTCGACAGACATTTGATCGAAGCAGCTCGGTGACGTGGTGACTACTTGCAGGTTTTGTTGGCAAACTACTGGAGCAGGAAAGTTAGCGAGTGTGTCGGCTGAGCTGTTAAAGAGATAATAAGTTCACACAGTTTATCCAGAAGATAGTCAATACCACCAACTCCTGTCTCACAGCTGTCTGCAAACCACGCCTCTTGTGGAGCAGTTTATACTGCGACAGAGGAGGGTAAATAAAAGGGGATGATGATGCAACATAGCTGATAAACTTCGACAGCTTCTTTTCCGTTTTGGACTCTCTGGCTCCCCGTACTCTCAAAGGTCGGCACTATCAACGGATTTCACAGTGAAACTTCACCGTTTAAAATGCTTACGTGACAAAGCACTGTTGTCAAAAACAATAAGATCTTGTGAGACTTGACTTTCAAGAATAGAAAGCTGCCATACTTCTTAACCAAAATCTCTCACACGTCACCAATTAAAATGCAAAGATGGTGTGTGCACTGTATCCCCAGTGGAAGGGTGGTACGGGGCTTCATCCTATATGTGACGCATTTTAATATTCATGATATTAATTAGCACTTATGAATCTATATAAGTGTTTGCGTGTATAATACGGCTTGAATTGCAAATGCGTTCATGTGCTGTATGTGGTACCGTATGTGTGTAATTAGCTTGATTGCTTGTTCCCCCAGTGCAGGTTTTTAATACTTTCCTCATGAAGTCTTTATGGTGCTATTCAACTGTCTCCATGTTCGGTTTTTCTTCTGCTCGCCCTTTCTAACGTTCACTACATCTATTGTCAGTAGTGAGGAGGTGTGTGCGTGCGAGTGTGTGTGTTATTGTGAGCACTCAGCAAGTCTAATTTGTATTTATGAAAGTGTGCGTGAAAGTGTATGAACGCATCTGAGTGTGGAAGCAATGTTTGCAAATCATTGCAAACATACATACTCCTGAAAAACACACACCACCCGAGCTAGGTGCGCATGTATTTGTGCGCCACAGGCCGTCACGCAATCGCTGGATCTCTCCCCCGAAATCACCAGACCTCATCAGGGATGTCAACAGCGACCCGCGGGCTGCACTAAGGGCTGCCCTGCTAACCCTGCGCGGCTGTAGGTCATTTTGTTTTGCATGTGTGATTGTCATACCTGCTTATCGGTGAGGGCGTATAAGTACTGGTGATCCGGGCTGAAGAGCATGTCTCTCAGGATGGGGCTCCCGTCGTTCACCGCCACGTTCTCATACAGCAAGGCAGGCTGGGTGATGGAGTTCACCAGGATCTGGAAGAGGGCACATGGAAAAAGCCATGATTACAATCTAATGCTTCTTAAATTATCATTTGACCATAAAACAAATAACAAAAGTAGTAGTAGCCTGTCAAAATATTGTACTTTAGACATTAAAATTATTTGAATTTTGTCTTCATAACACCACTGATGACTCTAATAATAATCCAAAGAGATCCCGGTGTTTTAATTAAAACCTCATTCTGGAAATAGTCCCTATGAAAACAGTATGAAATTGACATACAAACTGGAGGAGGATAGAAGCTATGTCTGTCAACTTCAGTGTAAACTATAGCTTCTAGCTTTAGCGAACTAAACAACAGCTTAGCTACTTAAAGCTACTTTTATATTAAGTTGATACAGTTTTGCCACAGCTGTAGGCTTAAATGCAGTACAGTAAATTGATGATTAGCATGACGTGCACTGGCTGGTGTTGTTTTATGTTGAAAGTTAGCTTTAGCTCAGTAGCTAGCTGAAAGCTGGTGCTCGGTGTACCCGGGTTTTTAGCTAAGCTTGGAACAACCAAGCTTTACATCACTCTTTACGCTTCATTTTTTATTGATGTGAGTTGTAAGTTACATTTTTGACTAAATGTAACCTTTTACTACATTTTGTCAGTTTGGGGCATTCACATTAAACACCGTCTGTCCCACCGTTATTTAATGTAGCCTAACTACAGTAACAACTAAATGATGTCTCTTTTGTTGGTGCTTTTACAGTGCTGCGTCTGGCAAAATTACAGTTATGAGGGTTCTTCTCCCTTGAACCAGCTAGTAAATCCTATTCTCCTTCTCTCTCGTCTTGTGTGGATCTCTCTCTTTCTAATTTCCCGACCTCCATCTGGTCATCCATCACCTGACAGCAGTTTAGTCTGAAACTACTTTTCTGTTTTTCTGTCGCCTAGACTCGCTCTGTCATCTTACTTTTCTTCTCTCTCTCTCGTCTCCCTACTCTCAGCAGTCTCTGCGGTTATTATCTACCAGACTTTCCTTAATCAGTTTTTTCTGAACAGAAGGTTCATTAACAGACAGACTGTCATCACCGAATGTGCTTTTGTCGCTCAAGAGGAGGGAGCGGCTTTGGTTAAAAGTCAAGTGCTTTGACAAATCCGCATTTCAGCGGGACGTTCAGAGTCTAAAGTCTTGTGGTTTTACACTGAAAGGTCAAATGTGAGGCATGTAGCAGCAGAAACGGAACAGAGAGGAACACGTTTTGTTGGAAAACCTGACACAGGTTTGTATTGACTTGTACAGTTTACTGCCTGTGACAACAAAAGTTGAATTGCTGAACTTTTCTGACTTCCAAGACAGGTGTATTTGTGTGTGTGTGTGTGTGTGTGTGTGTGTGTGTGTGTGTGTGTGTGTATGTGTGTATGTGGGTGGAGGAGCTGTACCCAAGTTGTTACTGCCCAACGGTAATTTGTTTTAGCTGTCCCTTATGTTGCTCCCACATGAACACAAACACTCTGAAACTTTTATTGATGTGAGTGTGACCTTTTGTCCCCCTGTATTTCTGGCTGTGAGCAACAATGCAGGCGAGCGGAAAAAAAAACACCAAAAAACACTGTTTGGCCATTCTAAAACTGCTACAAGCCCTGGGCCACCATATCGGTTGCTATGAGTGAAGGACTGTGGCGGGGAGAGGAGGGTGAGGGGGGGTGCAGGAGCAGGGAGCGTGCTCTGGCCTACAGCTCGGGGCAGAGGGCAGTTGGAGCGGGATTCAGGTCAGCTGGCACGGAGGGGACTGCAGACTAGAGCAGGTGACTGGAGATTCTCATCTAGTCTAGTAGCCTGCAGGTGTCTGCTCTCCTTCTCTGACCTCTGGAAGTTAGTGTGTCCAAACACTGACTTCTCACTGAGGAAGGGTGAGAAACTTTCATTAACCCGACAGTAATCCACTGTTATTGTTTTGTTTTTTCTTACAATGTACGCTGAAATGTTGCGGACTGCTCGATCGCACCCAACTTTTATCGCTTTATGTTAAAAATAACAGTTTCAAATAAATGCCATCTTTTTACCGAGCTGAAACCCCTGCAGGGGAGCATAAATCCCACATCTTCGTCTTTGTGTCGTCCGCGGGGGGGGCGACACTTGGGCATCTGGGTCTTTTGCATGTTTCCATTTGTCCACTTTCTTACTTTCTGGAACGTATTAGCACAAAGCCCAGGCTATAAGATGAAAGAGACCTGCTAAAGCAGCGTCTACCTGTTTTAAAAGGCGCTTATTAAATGTGCTTTTATGACTGCTCCGACGGTGATTATTAGACTAAAAAAAGAAAAAAGAACATAAAGGGTCCTACTTTGATGTTACTGACAGCTTCTGAGTCATTAAAACAGGCTGTTATTTTGTACTGATTAGTTTACCTCTTTGGAGCTCGACAATCGAGTGTATTTTTATCCTGCTCAGCAGGGCCACTCCATGATGAGTGCGCCGAACACTAACTGCTGCCATTTGCATTCAAATTATCCACCAATCAATCAAAACAATGTCTATTTGGAGCATGTCCTAGCTAAAATGACACGTCAATTCAGTCGAGCTAATGTTCTTTCCCAGGGTAATGTACATTAAGGAAGCAGAGAAGGGTCTTGCTTAAGGACGGAGCAATGAGACATACATCATGTCTTCGACCTTTCTCCGGGCCACCTTCAGCTGCCAAGAAAGTTGGGATCGGGATGGAAGTTAAAGGTGACTTTTCCTGATGAGTTTGCAGCCCACACTTAACTCTCATTCCCTTCTTCGCCGCCCCCATGCGTTCCTCCCCTCCTCCTTCAAGCTCGGACCTGTCCGTCGCCTCGATCGCCCTGGGATTAGGCTCATTACCAAACCGCCGCTGATACAATAACCCACTGTAACCCACTGTAACCCACACACACACACATTGAGGTCCACAGGTGTACAAAGAAATGCATATCTGAGAACACACACACTTTGAAACAACCCTATGACAATGCCAAACTACTTCTACCTTTGATCCAAATGGACAAAAGCTGTGAAGTCACATTACCACTAGAGATCCTTCTTAGTCGTCGTGTTAGGGCTTTTAAACAGACATTCTTTGTCAATGCTCCTGTGTAAATTCTACCATACAAGCTCATTGTCAAGGTTTGCTGCCAAGGAGGTGGGTTTCAGGAGCATGAGAGAATATTCACCATTGGCTTCAACAGAAAAGGCAAAGAGCAGGAGAGTTTGTGTTCAAATCGAAGGTGACGTGTGGTAATTTGAAACTAGGAAATCTATTTAAAACATGAATAGAGGAGGCCCAAAAATCACCCTTCCTACGCCGTGTCCTAACAGCAGGCGAGCCCACTGGAGATGTAACCGCTTATCATCCTACATTTATTCTTCTTTAAAACAGATAACATACAACTAATATTGTGATGTTTACTGGAAATGAGAGATAATATAGCCAACAGCAAATAGTAAACTTCTCCCTCCAGCTAGCTGCCACCTTAGTACGGTTTCTGTAGTGAAATGAAGAGGTACCGTAAGGATAACTCGACTTTGATACATTTTGGCAGCATTTAGTTTAATGCTGAACATAGCAGAGTTAAAGCGCGGGATCGTTTTGTAGCATGGGCGGGCGATGCACTGGTTGATGATGATGGTGGAGACGGATGAGGCGGGATGAAGCTGGGAGGTGTGGTGGACCAGAGAGAGGGATAGTGTGTGCACAGGAGTGTGTAGAAAAGGAGGGCAAAGTAATAAAGGTGAACAAAGGGGAGTAATGAGGTTTGGGTGGAGTGGCGCAGTGATTAATACCATGCTGGGTTCAACCAGCGGTCACACCTTTGGGTCAGGTAGACTGGGAAAACACAAGCGCATGCTATCAATTCTTCTTCTCTCAAAAACTGCCCTCGGTTCTTATTTTCCCAGTGGCTTTGTTTGACTTCCTGTCTCCTAATCATTCTTTCTCCCTTCTCTTTTTCTCCTCCGTCTTTCCTTTCGGCCTTCATTTGTCACCCTTCTTCTCACCTGCCTTCTTCCCCACCTTCTCCACTTCATTTTGATCTCCTCTTCACCCTGGTTCCTTTTCTTTTCTTTCTTTTCCTTCTCAGATTTGCTCTTTTTCTTGAGGACTCCCCCCTTGTCCTTTTCCTTCCCTCATGGACACAGACCTCTTCCTCCCACTGTGTGTGTGTGTGTGTGCGCATGTGTGTCCAGACACAGCAGTGCACTGTCCAACCTCAGCTGTTAAACATCTAGTTAATTAAACGGTTGGACAAAGGGAGGGACGATGAAAAGGAAGGAGGGAGGATGCAAAAAGAAGAGCGTAGGATATAAGAGCAGCTTGTTCACCTTGTTAGCATTTCTCACTGAAACCGATGTTACAAATGTCCGGTGAGGACAAGTAATGAACCAGTGTCCTAAATATTCAAGAAGCTATTTGATGATGGGGGGAACAGCGGGAGTGGGGGGGGGGGGGGGAGAGACGCATTTACTTAATGAAATCTACGGTGGTGTGTGTGTGTGTGTGTGTGTGTGTTAACGGCTCCTCGTTGAATTCATGATCCCTAATGAAATTGATTTTGGTCTCATCTGTTGAGAGGAGGGTCTGTGCACGCATGAACACACACACACACACGCACACACACGCACACACACACACACACACACACACACACACACACACACACACACACACTGACAGGATCCTGAAGTTCAATTTAATACCAACCACTGACTCTATATAAGAAATGGTCGCCATGACGTCACCCATTGGTTTGTGGATGAAGACTTTGAAGCCTTGAGTTTGGCATTTTGGCTGTCGCCATCTTGGTTTTTTCTGCAACATAAGTGACACAAGAGGGTGGAGCTAAGTAAAGCATTCCCTGCTTTATCATCTATTTTACTCTAAACTGGGACCTTAATTATAAATATAAATACTAAATGAACATCATGCTGTATTGAAGAAGACTTGAACTAGTGATTGAGACCATAAACTCATGTTTACAATGTTTACTGAGGTAATGAATCAAGAGAGAAGTAGAGTCATTT